AAGAGAATGGGACAGAAAAGCGCCAAAGGCAGAACACTACAGAGGTAATAATACAAGGTGAAAAAGAGGCTAGCAATTTCTCATTTCTGTGATATCCATTGTCATTCACTAATTGAAATTGTATGTTCATTCCTTTTAGCTAAATTCAAATCACCCAAAACATGGGGCAACTGTCATGATATCTGCAGCCTGGAGCAGAACAAGGGGCAAACCACTGAGTGTCTGCACATGAGGAATCCACAGCTCCATACAAGCTGACCACAGTATCAATACAGTTGTCAGCTCAGATACCCCTTCCTTTGCTGTGGAGAGTGCTGCCACAGAATGCTGCTGCTAGATTTATTCACAGTTGCCCCTTCTGCCTACATACATGTACACACACACACAATGGAACCAGCTAGCAGTTCTAATGCATCCCTTATTATAGGATGTAGGCAAGGTAAATGCTACTGACATTTTACAGATGAGGAGCTGGAGGTAGAAATGTTTAAGGAATTTGGCCAAGGTGTCAGAATGAGTCACTGGCTCAGGAGTTGCTGGCTCACAGCAAAGTGATTCATTACAGCTGCCCCTAGCTAAGTTATTTTTGCAAAGGCTACCTTAAAAGTGATATCATATTTATGAGTCAGTGATATGAGTCTGTCATAGGAATCAGCCAGCAGGATTTTTATTGGTGATTTGAAAAATATGTACATGAGTGAAGCTGAAAAGTGTGTAACCAGAGCAGGCAAAAACCTCTTCAAAGAGAATTTCAAATGGTCCTGTTTTAGGATTTCCTTAATAATACTTTTCTCTGGTACATTAATTCATGGATTTTTTTTTTGCTCCCTTTGATTCACAAACAAAAAGATATAAAGGAATTCCAATATTAGAAAAGCTTTTCTGTAAAAAAAAATACTTTCCTTTTGTTTGTTTATTCTTATATCTCTGTCTGTATCTCAACATATGGTTACTGATTTCTTGTTTGCTTTTGTTTTTATAACATACCTTTTTTTGTCTTTTGTAACTTAAAAATACTGTGTGTGTGTGTGTGTGTGTGTTTGTATAGCAATAGAAGAGCTAAACTGAAAGAATTCAATACCCTTCACTCTCACTGTATTGTATTGCTGATGCACATTGTAAGCACATGTAATTCACACTTATTACCATCAGAAGAATGTGTTACACGAGGGGTGGGGAGGTGTCAGGAGACTTCCCCATGGAAGGGTCCTAGAACAGTGGTTCTCAACCAAGGCACCCCTTGTGAGATGTAAGGCACCTTTTAGAAAATGCCAGCTCTTAGCTTTCATTTGCTTTTTGTATGGAAAAATAATAGAGCAATTGTTCTGTTGCAAAGAACTCAATAACAAGAAAGATCACAATACGTCAGAATGATTTTAACACTGTAGATTCAGATCAAGCAGATTAAAGAAAGTGTTTCTTCCCCTTTATTTGGTGCTGGTAAGGCCATGTCTGGTGGTTCCAAAAAGGATGTAGCTAGACTGTTCTCAGTGGTGGCAGATGACAGGACAAAGAGCCATGGTCTCAAGTTGCAGCAAAGGAAGTTTAGGTTATAAGGAAAAAATTTCTCACTAGAAGGGTAGTAAAGCACTGGAACAAGTTACCCAGAAAAGTTGTAGAATCTCCATCCTTGGAGGTTTTTAAGACTCAAGTAGATAAAGCCTTGGCTGTGGTGATAAACTGGGGATGGTGCTGCTTTGAGGAGAGGGTTGGACTAGATGACCTCCTGAAGTCCCTTGCCATAGAAAACACTTATTTTCTATGATGCTGTGATTCCTCTTTGAAATCTATGGGTTATCATGTGAATCATGTTTGCGCACTGTGGCACCCTGGCTGAGTATCACTGTCCTAGGGAGTCCAACTCATTGCATTCACAGAGTTCAGGAACTACTGATGGCTAGTGCAAGCCACAACTCTGAGCTTCCAAAAAGAAGCTGGATAGGATGAGCTCATGTCCCCAGTTCAGTTCAGTTCTGTATCAGTCAGCATGCTTGTCTTGCACTGAAATTGTTAGAACTGAGTATGTGCAATACCTTATTAAAGAGCATGGCTGAATACAGATGTTCATTTTTACCAATATAAATTCTTACCAGTAGAAATATAGCCTGGGAACTGGAGCATACATGTGTTCCAAACCCGTGGCTGGAGAGTTTCATAGATGAGCTCTCCAACCAGGAGGAAATATAGGGCTGCTCCCTGGGCCATTCCCACCTTTACTGGAGTCCATTAATTGACAGCATACCCTCTTCCCTGCCTAGGAAGGGGGCAGCAGTCAGCTGCCAACTAGCAGCCAATCAGCTGATTGGCAAGAAAGGGGAGTTTCCTATGATGGTAACCCTGCCAGTTTCCACCACAAAAGAATAGTCCCTACTCTTTGCACTCCTCTGGGCTGACCCAGAGCAGTGCAGGGTTAGGTGGGGCATTTTGCCACGATGGAAACCCCGTCTGGGAGGTTAATGGCATAAGTGGCCATTCTCCCATCAGGGGCAGTCATTCCCAAAGGGTTTCCCTTGTAGGAGAATTCCCCCCATCACCAATAAGGTGATTGGCAGGGGGGAGGGGATAATTTTTCAAGGTAGGGTCCCCACAAGGCTTCCTAATGGCTTGCCCCTGGGGATAGGGACAGAAGTTACCCCTCCCACCTCAACTCAGCTTCCCCCCAGCTGAGGGCTCACTCTTGCGCCCCCGGCTTCTAGCCTAAGCCCCTGCAGGCATGTGGCTGCATTTCCAGAATCAAATAGTGAATGTCTATTCCCTTGCTTGCTGGTTCAATCTACGTGGGTTAGACTAACCTGCAAAGATTGAATTGATTCCAGCTTGGTCTTTTTGAATGTCTATACTTAGCCTGGGGGGCCTGTCATGGAGCCCATGTTGTCTCTCCCTTCCTCTCCCTTGGAGGGAGGGCAGAGGGCTGTGGGGTATCCTCCACATGAGAGAAGTGTACAGGTGTTCAAGTTAGATTGGGAGGAAGGAAATCTTCATAGGCATCCTATCCTACCTAACTTCTTGCAGAAGAATCTCTGCCTCAAGAAATCTTGTGAACATTTGTACAGCTCTGTCTTGGTGCCTCGAGAAAGACTTTTCTAATGGAACTTCTGTTTATGGCCTGTATCAGCAAGTGTGTTTCCTCCCTTCACCCCTGGGCTTCTTAGATATATGTTCCTTAAGCGGACAATCTAACCCTTGATTTACCTGTATTCCTTTCATTGCAGCGGGCTGAAATCACTATTTATCATGTAGTAAATTTGTTGTTGTTTTCTAAATATTACTGTATGCAATCATGTCTAGCTAAACATGTCTATGTAATGAAATCCTGTGCAGGTCACAGCCAGATTTATATAAATGTAGTGAGTAAAGAACTCATGCCACCAGAATGAAAGGCTTTATATATTGCTGACATTTACCTGAGCTGTGAGCCATGGTAGTATAATGCAGCTGGTACTTGCATGCCTAAGAAAACATTTTTCTTACAATGGCATATTTAGGTCTTTCAGTGTACAATTTCCATTTAGACTCCTTATGATTTTGAAATTGATTAGTACTATTTTTATCTTATGTAATCATTTTAAAGCATTTTAATGACACTGGGGTTTTTTTAAGTATTAATACTCAAAACTTGGAAAAAATTCTGATTATCAACCTTTTCTTAAAAGAAAAATGTTTCTATATGGTATTACTTCGTAGAGATACAATTTTAATCCATATAGTGCCTTTAGATTCTTTAGAATATAAATAATGAATTGGGGGTTAGGGAGGAGGGAGATTGAGCCTAGAAATCTTTTTTTTTTTTCCCTTCACATGTTCTTCTGGCACTTTATCAGAAGTGAGTCATCATTTCTTTGGAATGGCCACCTGCTATGTTTTTATGAATGATTACTGCGTTAAAAGTTAACTTGGCCCTGGCAGGTTTATTTATTTATTTATTTTAATTAATTCTCCTTTTTGACGTCATGTTTATTTAGCAATTGTTTTCTGCCACTGAAATGGAAATAGTTAGCATATGGCTATTATAAGCAGATATAATATTTTCCTACACAGGTTTCCAAACAAGAGCAGAAAAAAATGGACATGTCTGATGGAGGAACGGTTGAAACTTCTTCGCGTTATAGTGGAGCGCAAGATAGTGGCATTGGCAGTGACAGCGTTAAAATCAGAATAGTTCAAATAGAGCAACATAGTGGCACCAGCCAACATCGCATTGCCCGACCTTCCCGCCAGTCTTCCATTGTGAAGAACCTGAACTTCATTCCCTTTGACATTTTTATTACCGCAAGTCGGATATCTGTGATGACTTACTTATGCACTGCTTTACTGAAGCCTAAATCAACACAAGATCAGAAAGATGGTGATCAAGTAGGTAAAAGCTCATTAAACCTTCCAGAAACAGATTCAAGTATTGGTCAAGAGACTGAGAAACCCAGTCAGGCATGTATTTCATCAGTCACTGCAGATGATATCTTGAACAGTAATGTTTCTTTGCCCACTGGAAGAAAGACAGGTCTACTGTCACTGGAAAGTCTTCACGCTTCCACACGGTCATCTGCTCGACAAGCCCTGGGTATAACTATCGTTCGACAGCCTGGTCGCAGAGGAATTGGTGACATACAGTTAGAACCCTTTCTGTACCTTGTTGTATCACAGCCTTCTATACTTTTGAGTTGTCATCACAGAAAACAGAGGGTGGAAATTTCGGTGTTTGATGCTGCACTTAAAGGAGTAGCCTCTGACTACAAGTATACAGGTAAGACCAAAGTCCATTGGCTGTTAATATTTGTCTCCTCAAATAGAAATTGGATTAGTGTTTTAATTGGTAAGATGTCTTGTTTAGCCAGTAGACTAAACAAAATATTTTAACAATTAAAACAATAATCAAATTTCTATTCCACAACTAAATCAAGCATATTAATGTTTGAACTTGGTTCAAATTGTACCTATTTTTGTTACTTTTGAATAGTATGTCCTCAGCATTAGAAAATAGAGGACTGTCGCATCACTTTAATGCATGAGGAGTTTCTAAACAAATATTATAAATATTATTAACAATGATTTGTATATATTCTCTTTTATAAAAAGTATTTTTACACCTGCAAACCACTACATTTTTCATATTAATCTGTTAGTAAAAATAAAAGGTGTAGTAACAATTTGAATTTTGATGAGAGTTCTAAGAAAATTACAGAATCATTTGGCAAGCTAAATATCATCAGTTAAAATGGAAATTAAGCTATCTGAAGTCAATTATAGAAAGTTTGAATAGTATTTTTCTGGAAGCTATTTAAATTGCAGCTTAACATCTTATATTATACCTCCCTGTGGCCAGGTCTTGACAGGGCAGGTGGAAGGGTAGTGGGTAGGAATGACATGAATTCAGTGTATGGAAGAGAAAAGGACTGACAGATGTCATGGGGAAGGGATTAAAAAGGGAGTAAAAATACCTTCTGCTGCATCAGTGATGAATCATTGTCAGAAATAATCAGTAAAAAGAGGTAGAAACCAATTGTGCACAGTGGGTGTCATGTCTACGCTGCATCAGATGGGTGCTAGTGGAAAGCTAAACTGTCAGACTATCAGACCTAATTCTCCCATATTTCTACTTGTATCAACATTTTGATAAAACCCCCTTAGATGCTAGTTTGTGATATATTTTTGAACTGGCACTTAGCTAAGTAATAGAGTTTCCTTTTTCTAAATGAAAGTGCTCCATTGTTCATTTATCTATAGATATAATTTACCATATTTTATATGAAGCATTTATAATAATGAAAAGTCATTTGGGAGGGTTGAAAATTTCTTATCCTGCTTTCTAGCAGTGCAGTGAAAGACATTACAGTTCCATTTTTTGCCTGTCACTGACGGATAGAGGAATGTGTTGAGACATTCCATTTGCCCACCAAAGTGTTGGGTGCCATAAAGTGGGCAAATCAGTAATCAGGGAAACCACTGAGACAAGAATATTTTGAGGGTGTCTCCAATGCTAGAGCTCGTGGTATTTATACGTCAGATCAAGGCTGTTGATGAAAAACATCACTTTCTATGCACTTGCGCAATTTCATACATCACATTTACTTTTTTAAAATTTCATAAATAAATACATTTTTGCTTAGATGTACTGAATTGTCACTGAGCAAAAGTGACCCTTCTGGTGGTTTCATTAAAATACTCTGTGGAAGAGCCCAACACAACTGCTACTTTTTATAAATCAAAATTTTAAAAAATCTTAATATTATTAAGTTTTTCTGGTTCCCGCTCTCTTTTGCTTTTTGTTCTATTCTAAATCCAATTTTCCTCTCTCCTCCCCTTTTCTATCTGTTTTTATCCTTGTCTCTGGAAGAAACATGCTTCTGCAGAAGTTTATATAAAGGGTGTTAGGAAACTCCTTGTATACTTCCTGTTGAATAGCTAGTGGTGCAATAACTAGAACCTATGCAAATACAAAGCAATCAGTGAATTGGATAATTTTGCAGTCATATTGGGATTGCTTTTTCATCTCTATTTCAAAAGTTATGATAATTCAACAAGAAATGTATAATACCTGTTTAGAATTTGTGACTACAGGTGGTAACTGATAATTCATTAGTATAGTTTCAAAAATAAATACCTTCTATAGAAATGTGGTTGACCAAAGTAAGTCTAGAGAAATGAAATGACTTAGTGCCTGTGTGAGATATAATAGGTGAAGGATTTCTGGAGGGATAGGCCAAATTAAATGAACTGGTAAAGATGACACTTTGTAAACTGCGATTATTCTTCATCTCCTTATGTCAGATTATACCAGCACATTATTTATATCTAAAATATACCCTCAGATATAACAGTATCATTGACTTGAGTGAGATTTGTGTGACACTGATCAGGACACACAGATGAAGGAAGCAAGAAACAGGAACGGGGTGAAGTGGCAAGCCACGGCTTCATTAACATGATACCAGAGAGAGATGATCTGTGCCCATTTCCCCATCTCACATATCTAAAACATGTATATGGGTCCAGTCCAGGTTTATAGGTCCTATACCATTTAACCAATAATTCAGGCTTAGGCTGTCCTTGGTCTCTCTGTTAAGACTCAACTGCTTTCTGAATCCTCTTACTCTTTGCTGTGGGAGAGAAGAGCACAAAGGGGGATAGATGCTGGTCTGGAAGAACTTCAGAGCTTTTATTTTCCCATAGGCACAATGTCTACCAGTGACGTCTCAGGTCCCACACTGGACACCAACCACAAGTGGTAATGAACTAAAATTTCCTACAAATTCCTAATATTATTTTTTAAATCCTGCTTGTCTTAACCAAGCTGTGTCTCTGCGATACTGCAAGGCAAGACAAAAAATGTAGGAGGTTTCTGCCAGTTTTGCGCAGAAGATAATCTAATTGTTTAGATTACCACATTTTTGAGGATAAATTGCCATGAACTATGTTATTTACTGCTATAAAACATAGCAGCAGGAGCTTTGCACTGCATTTGTTAAACTACTGCATTTGGTTTGTGATTAATATTCCAGCCAATTTCTTTGACATTTTCTGACCACCTGCTAATAGTTTTGTCTGAAAGAGATGTATCTTTCAAATAGAAGGATGGTATGAAATTTATTGAAGGAAACATCTTAGCTGCTGTTTACTCTCTGCTGTAACCTCCTACTGTATTCCTTCCTGTGTCAGAGAAGGTTGGTGGAAAAACACAGCATTTAAACTTATACTTTGCATATGGACATTGCTTTTATTCAGTCTTTTTGGTAGAGGTACTTTATATTGGTGTTTATATAGAAGGGAGAGCCTGAGAAATACATAATCCATGCTATAATTTTTTTATTGGCACTTATCTGGGATGTTCTCATTAATTAAAACTAGCAAAGCCATGAGTTGAGTTACGCAGATCTTCCCAAACAAATGCCAGTAAAAACTTTTTACCATGCCATCCGTGTGGTGCATTCTATATACACTATTGAGAAAACTATGTTAGGAATGTTTTAGAGCATTTTGAATGATTGTACTGAGGCTATTTTTGTGCCCTTGTGAAAATTTAAACACTGTTAGTCCAACCACACATGCATTTAGTTTTATGAACATATATAAAATACTCTGTCATAGCTCTTCTTTAGGGGAAACAATACTATAATAGTAGTGGCTAACAAACTGAGGAGGTGTTTGAAATGCATGATAAATTATGTGCCACAAGAAAACTGAAGAAAAGCAGCATCTGAAAGCTAAATGTTATTGCTATTTTTTGTTATTTAACTTTGATAAGCAGTAGAGTAAGCCATTCTCCACAATTTTACATATGCATCAGCACAACAAATCCACCCTACTTTCTGGTGCAGCTGCTGCTTATGTGGTCCTCATAGGCCAGCTAATACAGTTCTCAGATGAATTGAATTCTAATCTGAGCAGCTGAAGTGGGGAGTTGATCACACTTAGATTCCATTTGCAATGTGTTCTTGTGTGCAAGTCTGTCAGTAAAATTATAGAAACCTCCAAAAAGAAATAAAAATAACATTTAAGTGGTAACATAATTATTTGAGGGTCTGGTGTGCATTTCTCTAGAACAGGGGTAGGCAATGTTTTTTGGCTAGAGTGCCAAAAAAACCACAATGTCTACCTTGGAAGGCGCTGGAGTTGCCGGCATGCCAGAAAAACAAAATTGGGGGTGGAGGGGGTAGGCGGTACATGTCAGGATGCACTGCATATTAGTATATGTAATAATCATAAATGTTGCCTTTGTTGTTATGTATTTTTTTTGTTAAGCATGTTTTAGTGAGAGAGAGAGAGAGAAAAGAGCAATAAGAGAAAGAGGAGAGAGAGAAAGGAGAGCAGAGAGAGAACCAGGCACATACACATGCACACACAGAACCGCACACACAGAACCACATGTGCACAAACACAGAGAATCAGAACAGACACATGCACACACACATCCAGAACCAGGCCCATGTACACACACAGACGCACAGAACCAGAGGCACAGGTGCACAGAGCTGGGCTGCTGAGCCACCGGACAAAGTCTGACCCAACAATGCACTGGGCCTGCCAGAGCCCCTGTGCTTCCCTGGGGAGCCAGCCCCCAGGCTGCAGCGCAGCCAGCCAAGGCCCTGGCACAGGGACTGCCCATCAGCCCAACCACCCACCCACTCCACACAGCTAAGCCTGCAAACTTGCGGCAC